TCATGTTCGTCGGCACGCCTATAACAGTTGCTCTCACGTCCAGTGCTGTACTTTTCTCTTTGCCTGCTTCCCAGAGGTGAATCAGAGGAGGATAAAGCTCGCTGAACGCAAAGGCTGGTTTCTGTAAGTAATTCCTCACGTAGCCACGACCGCCACCACAGTTCACTCTTTGAGAGAGGCAGCTGAAAAGCCCTATCACACCGATAATCCCCAGGAAGCCTCCCAGGCAGGCCAGAAATGCTGTGGTGTTACTCGTTCCATATTCTTCTCGATCGGGGTCCAAACCTTTCGTGGTGACATTGACACATCGTTTTCTATTTTTCTGGTAGATGGTGGGGATATCGATGCAAATGTTATACTCCGTGGATGGGTTCAGACGAGTGAGATTATACACCTTGACGTCCGATGGTATCCGGGCACTTTGGGCAGCTCGGGCATTTTCCGACGTGACAAAGGCTGTCCACTTCACACTGGATTTGAGAATCTTAGAACTCGCTTTCCAAGACACCAGAACTGAATTGGCCTGAATGTCTTTTATCTTAATATTTAAGGATCCATCGTTGTCCTGGGGGAAAGAACCATCCACGGTGATCAGGACAGACTTCAGGTCAGCGCCGACCAGGTTGGTTGCGATACAGGTGTACAGACCCCCTTCTGTCAGGGTGATGCTGCTTATGTCCAGCGTGCCTTCGGGATGCACGTAGAACTTGTCCGTCCGAGTACCGGGCAGGAGCTTCTGGCCGGAGGGCGAGGTCCAGTAGATTTCGGGCTGGGGCTCGGCGGTGGCTCTGCAGTGCACGGAAGCGTGGCCCCCGGCCTCCAGGTCCAGGCTGGGAGGGAAGCTCTCGGGCGCGATGAGAGGGAGGCAGATGTCCATCATGTCCCGGAAGTGCACCTGGCGAACATTCTGGCCTTGGAACTCAGGCGGGTCCACGCAAAACAGCGACTCGGGCTCCATGAAGCGGACGTCCGTCTTGTTCATGTTCATCCAGCGGACGACGCAGTCGCACCGGATGGGGTTGCTGTGCAGGCTGATCTCCTTGAGGCCGGGCAGGGCGTCCACGGTGCCGCGGTACAGGGCGCGCAGCGCGTTGCTGTTCAGCATGAGCGATTCCAGCCTGGGCAGCCTGGAAAACGCGTTCGGGTGGACGAAAGACAGCCTCGGGTTGTTGGTCGCTTCTATCTTTCTCAAATCCGGCAAGTTATCCACGGCAAGGCTGTCGATGGAAATCAGCTCGGGCATATTGTTGATCCCCAGCTCTTTTAAGTGTAGCATGTTGCTGAAATCACCCCGCCGTATCCTGTTAATGGGATTTTTATTGAGATCCAAAAATTTGAGGTTTACAACTTTTTGAAGAGCAACGTGGGGCACTTTCCTAAGCCTGTTGTCATAGAAAGAGATGCTCTCTAGGTTTTCAAGTCCAACCAAGGCGTTATCCGGGATTTCTGTGAGGTTTATCCCGGCTATAACCAGGCTGCGAAGGTTGGTAAGTGGCTTAAAGTTCATGTCTTTGATTCTAGTGATTGGATTCTCCCCAATCATCAAAACCTCCAGATTGGGGAGAGCGTCAAACCACTTACTGTTGATCACCTGCAATCTGTTTGAATTGAGATGAAGCCGAAGAAGATTATGTAGGCCAATGAAGGCTCCTGGTGAAATTGCAGAAAGCAAGTTGTGATTAATGTAGAGTTCTTGTAAGTTGCTCAGCGCAGACAGACATTTTTCAGGCAGCTCCGTGAGTTTGTTTTCCTCTAGGTACACAGAAAGAAGCTGAGGCATCTTTTTTACATTAATATTGGTGACTGAAGATAAATTGTTTTGAGATAAGTCCAGGCCAGTAAGGTTCACTGGGAAGTCTACAGCGTGTTCAATTTTTGCAATGTTGTTAGTCTGTAGGAGCAGAATCTGTGTGTCAGCGGGCAGTCTGGCTGGGAAATTTAAAAGACCTAAATCGTTACAGTCCACTGTAGATGCTTCCATATAAGCGGATCGGGGTGTAAACCAGGGCCTGATTTCACACGTACATAATTGTGGGCAATCCGCCCTTTTATCTACAGCTTGTACTAGTGCAGTGATAGCCAGGCCAAGTAGCACGTGGATTCGGAGTGGCATGTCCTTCATCTTAGCTTTCGTCCTCAGAAATTGAACGGGCCCTTGAGGATTCCACAGTCCCCGCTAGTGAGTGCAGCGGGAGCTGATTGATAAGGAAAGTTGTCGCATTTGTCAAACGATAAATGCCGTAGAAATGCAGAGGTTTTCTTCAAGGAAATAAGGGCCAGTGCCACGATCGCCTTGTCCAGAAACGTCATGCATATTGGAAGAAAGAAGGTCACTGTCTTCTTTATGACAAAGTACCGATACGCATTCTGAAGATGGAGGGTGTATCGACGGTCACGAGAAGTTGAGCACTTCATTTATTTAGGAGTATAATATTCAGATCCCATGCTAGTTCAGTACTTGCAGGAATGGCCACATGATGCTAACGCTAAGAAAATGCAATATAAAAGAAAAGAGAAGAAGAATTAGTCTAAAGGGGAAAAAATATGTCACAATTAATATCCATTAACTAATGATGATTTCATAATATTATCAGCATTTACAGTTAATTTAATATGTTTTGGTGACTTTAGCCTTGTTAAGACTCTCCTTAATCGTTATTGGACCGCATATCGGAAAGGCTGAGAAATGGAAACTGTAGAAGACCAAAGTTACGTTAAACGTAATGAGCATGCCTCCAGAATTTTTCTTTCAAAGTTTTACTTGTGTGTACCTTGTAATTGTCTATTGTATTTGTCATTCTCTTTGACAGTTGCAGGGCAAAAAAGAAAACCTTTTGATGGTGATGACTTTGTTTTCCTCTTAGAGAAGTAGAATTAAAAGGTTACAAATAAATAATACTGTTTAGTTAAAATCAAATGCGTTAGCTTGTGGTTTCTGGGGCTTCCGGGAGAGGACCATGAAATGAAGAATTAATGGTATCCAGCTGGGTCTCCCGCCTTCATTCATACTTGTCTCCACAGTCACCTCTGTGTAAAGTGACTTGGGTTTTGCAGTATTTGGAAGAGATTAAGTCTGACTTGCCATAAATGTACCTGTATATTGCCGTTCTAAACTGAAATTCAGATTAATGTTCGACTGTTTTATTTTTCCCTGAAAATAACCTATATTCCTTTAGTCACTACTAGTGAAAAAGTAAATTTGTTACATCCCGTAAAACAGGCACTTAGATATTCCTTCTTTTAAATGCATACCGATGTCTTCATCCCATAAAAATAAGCAGCCCAAAATCAAGTTGCGGTTTTAATATGTGCCGCATCCTTACGATACCTGAGTGCTTTTATTAATACACTCCCAAAGCCGGACTGCGGCTGCGCACTGCCCGGCAGCGTCGGGCGGGGGGAGCACAGCTGACCGTCCCCCCTGGGGCTTTGTGCTCCCAGCGCTGACGGTCTGCGGAGCCAGCCTTCATTGCGGACGCTGTCTGTTCTTTCGCCTCTGCCCGCTAGTGATATGTCTGATGGCCTCGTTAACTGACTCTGGACCGGATGGGTGTGTTAGTGATGGAGACAAATATGTGTGGAGATGTGGTCTCTATGGAGAGAGAGAAACTTTTTTTTTTAGTAAAAAAAAAAAATCCCTGTTTTTCAAAACTATAAAATATTTATAATTCAAAGTCACACCCAATTTTCCCCTTTTCTTTTATCGTAAGAGATGTGATTTGGCCTAAAAAACAGATCCCGAAGTTCAGGTCACTACTGAGTTACTCTGAATTAAAGGTGTCTTTGCTTTGCTTTTTTTCGTTACTTCATCTATTTGCTTATCTAATTTTTTTCTTTTTTTTTTAACTAGACCTTTCGGCTGTTACTCCTACTCTGTTTTAAGTAGACTAAGTCCCTTGAGGAGAGAATCTAATCCCTCTCCTTCTTCAGTGAAGATGCCTGAACCCTCCTTACCCCCAGCGCCCCCCATCCGGGTCCCTCTCCTCGTCCTCCCTGTTGCTCCTCATCTTCTGTTCCCCTGCGGGCAGCCTCCTCTCTGCCGTGGAGCTGTGGGCGCCTCATCCTCCTCTCTCTGCCACGATGCCCATTTGTTTAAGTTAACGTGCAGTTTTTTCAAACCTCAGTTTGAGCATCGCCTCTCTGAGAAGCCTTCTGTGTACCCGCTCCCCAGCTGCAGTTAGTGGCTGAGTGCGTGGCCCCCAGCACACAGCTCTGCCAGAATATCGACTAGTTTTCTCCCTTGCCAGGCACTCACCCCCTTGAGTGCATGAGGCCTGCCTGACTTTGCAGCACCGGCTTTTGGGCATGGGAAGTACAATACAGAAGGTGCTCAAGAAATGTTTTCAATGAAACAATAAATGAATTTTGTTAATTAATTAGTGTGTCTATTCATCTTTCCCACATATAATTTAGGATTAAACTCAGTCTGTTTAATTTCCTAATTTCGATATTGAGCTGCTTTAACTCGCATGAACCTACTACTTACACAGAATGTGTTACCTGACTTATGAAACTCTAAGGAGGCAATTTGAATGTAACACAAAAGAACATTAGACTTTAAAGAAAAGTCAATCTAATGTTATAGCTGTAGTTTATTCCTTAATTTATTCAGTCAACTTTTTTTTTTCTTTTCTTTCTTTTTATATTTTTTTAGGTGAGGCAACCCTTAGATTGCAAGGACCGTGTCCGTTTACAATCCCTTATTTGTTATGATTGTTATTTTTCACGCCTACAGCACCTGGTCTTCCTAGGTGGTCTTCCATCCAAGTACTAACCAGGCCGGACCCTGCTTAGCTTCTGAGATCAGACGGGATCGGGCTTGTTCAGGGTGGCATGGCCGTAGACTTATTCGGTCAACTTTTAATGGGCACCCACTCTGTCCCAGTTATTGGGTTAATAGCTGGTGGATAAAAAGCCGACGCAGAGGCAGTCTCTTCCCTCTGTCCCTTTCCAGTCAGGAGGGGATCACAAATAAACGGGTGGCTGCAGTCGGAGCCACTGTGGGCGCACGTGGGAGGGGCACCCGAATAACACTGCCCCAGAAGTGTGTCGCCTCTGTTTCCCAGGGTGAAGGGAAAGCCTACGTACTAAGTGCAAAACACATTTCTGCTGAGAACTGAGAAGTCGCAACTTCTGCCTGAATCGGTTAGAGGTTAGACCCGCTCTGTCCTCCTCTATATTATTGAGAGGATTAGAACCGTTCACGGTGAAACTTTCTGGGGGGCATTAACCTAATGATGCCATGTTTTATTTTGAAATTATTCTTGTGTTTTAAAAAGTTCCCATCTACATCTAATTAGAAACTTTTTTCTGATTTTCATCATGGATACAGCCATGTGCCGGAAACAACCACATTGGAACTAGATTTATTCCGGAAGCTTTTGAAAATAAGGAGAGTTCTTATAGGGGTGAAAAATTCAAATTCCGTTTCCCCAGGTCTAGAGGAAGACAGGTTGGTTTGGAAGCACAAAAGGGGACATGGAAATTGTGGCTTTCTTTATTGTAATATTGATTTTTTTTCGTGTCTTCGGAACTGATTACTGTGCTTTCACTAATGGACTATTTGGCACGGATCATCTGCAGGATAGTAAGGCAATGATAATATCTTAAATCTTAGCACTTTATGGGTTTCAAAGCCCTTTCTTAGGCACCGTTTATTTTATGTTAATAATGGCTTCGTGACATGGGCGGGGAAGTACTTTAACTCCCATATTTTAGGTAGGGGTGTTAAGACCCGTCTGCCTGAGATCCCACAGTTAATAAATGATGGGGCAGGATTCGAACCAGCCTTTGCCTTCATGGCTGCAGCTCTTTCTAGTAATACACGTTGCATTGCATAGGTAGAGAACAAGTGAAATAATTTTAACAACAAAAAATGGTAGTGTGATTTTACTTCTCAGCAGGGCTGGCGTTTCTTTGGTCTTCAGTTTTCCAACTTTAGAAAATTAATTTTTTTAATCTAATAGGGACTGATAGTGACTAGTGTGTGATTCACATTAACTAAACACAGAAGGGACAAAACCAAAATGCCGGTACATTGCAGTGGAAAATATGACTGTCAAGAGAATCCAAATGCATCAATGTGCCGGTCATTGCTTTTCCTCCATTTAAAAAAAATGCACTTGGAAGTACGAATTACGAATTTGCAGTTTGCTTTTGAATATAGAATCCGAGGCAGGGACGTCAGGCTAGAGTTCTCAATGATCATTGTCATCAGAAATGATAGCCTGGCACATCTGCTTAAGTAAAGAGTATATTGTCACAGGATCTGGATCTCTTGAGTCTCATGGCTTTGGTGGGACCTCGGTCCCCAAGTCTCCCCTGTAATGGGGAGTTCTTCCTGAATTTATTCTCGGTCACCCCTCATCTGTGTCATCATCATTTGTTTAAATTTCTTTTTTCCTTTACTGGACATAAAATATTAGACATTAGATTATTAGATTATTACTAGACATTAGATTATTACATTATTGCCTTACTAGACATGTGGTTATTAGATTATTATTCCCTTACTAGATTATGAGATCTTTCTAATTAGAGACTATGTTCAGCTCACTTTTGGCTTAATTAGTACATTTGCTTGGTTAATTAGTACCTAGCCCAGTACCTCCATTCATCAAACAAGTGTTTGCTAAATGATAACTCACAAATGTGTCTTTTTATACTTTGTGTTGCATATGGAATAGTGATTAAAATGACTTTTCCTTTTCCTTCTTAAGTAACTGGCAATTAAGAACAGTTGGGAAAAAGGAAAACACTTGCCCCCAGATTTTTACAGAATTTTTTTCTTACTGTCTGATGGTTAAAATGTAGGAATATCACAGTCATACTGCAAAAGCGTACACTGGCAAAACAGGAAACAGTTCGCTTTCCAGGCACCAGTTTAAAAACATAGCCGTTCTATCGAGCTACGTTTTAGCTTTACCACTGAGAAAGTGGTTTCTGCTGTGGGCCATTTTGGAATTTGGGCTAAATCATTATAATGGTGGTATTGATTTTAGAATAGATTTTCACATATTTTTTTATATGCATCTGTATAATATTTTTTACATTTAAAAATAATTATATCATTAAAAAATAAAAATTGGCCAGCTTAACCCCATTTTTACTTTTTTGAGAATTTTAATGCCCTAAAACCACTTTCATTCTCTCTCTCCCCTATGCCCTCTCCCACTTCTCCTTTTTGAATACATTTAAAAAAAAATAATAAATTCTTTGAAATGTAAAAGAAAAAAAATTTCCTTAGAGAACTTCAAATACACACTTATTGATAGACTTGTATAATTTCCCGTACTCCATCAATTTGCTGGGGTTTTTTCCTTCTAAAATAAGAGTAGGAAGAATATACTTCAAAAAAATCTCTATTTCAACTTGCGTTTTACAGGTTTTAGGGCTATTGTTTGGGAAGGTGCTCGGGAGGCTGGCCTAGGGCCTGGAGCATAATAAGCCTTCAACAAACACTGTGTTTGGATGGAGGGGTAAGTGGATGGATGGGTGCAAAGTAGATAACATGTAGGTAAAATATCTTGCTTATTTTCTTCCTTAAAATATGGCGGATAAGCCATACGGAAGTCCATGTTGGTGACAGATATGGTTTCGGTAACTGATTTCCTGTTGTTAGACTGAGTGTTCATGTCTGTGCTTGTGCTCTTAGGAGCCGAGAACCAACTCATAATTACTGTTCTTTTTAGTCGTTTTCTCATGTAAAAGTATTTTAGAAGGTATTTTTGTAC